AGAGAGAGAGAGAGAGAGAGAAAGAGAAGAGCGGATCGGAAATAAGAAAAAGAAACGCGACAAAAGGCGGCGGAGGTACACAAATTGCAGCGGCGAAAAAGCGCATGCGTTCTCTCTGCAGCTTCAGTTCTTCCTCTCCTCCGTTCCGTTTCTTTCTTCGGAATCTCGAGGCGAAACTATTGTCTTTATGCGAACGTCCTTAGAAATATCACGATCCGTCTAAAAGTCTCAGCCACGCCGATTACAACCTCGCGGACGACCTGGTTTCGCGGATGGCAGGATGTAAACCGCGCTGATTAACGCGATGCTTTACGATATTTCTCCTCGAAGATGCGAAATTACGCTTGACGAACTGGCGAACAGCTTGAAAAGTAATTGGCTCGTTGATTTTTTTTTATTGTACTCGGGAAAACTGGCGCTCTAATATAAAGCTCTAATAGCGCTCCGAGTTTCACAAATATTTAGTGCAACGACCGTGTCGAACTAAATAAGAATAGAATATTAACGAAGAAAAAATGTAGTGATGGAATAAAATATTTAAAAAAATTTATATTATATAAAATAAAATATTTTTTTATTTCTTTTTGGTTCAGAGATTATAAGAGAGAAGATAAAGACTGCTATATCTTCCGATGATAAAATTAAAACTTATTACATATATAATCAGCAAATAAATTAAATCTCATTGATTATTGCCGCATCATGTGTTATAATTGTGATTAATTTTAAAGCAAATTAATAAATAATTATAATTAATAAATAATAATTTTTCTATCATGTTATGTTAGAATTAAATTGTTGCTATCGGTGCATCCCCCGGATATTTTTCGTATTTCTTGTAAATTTTAGCAAATTCGTACCTGCGTCAGCCAAATTCCTGTGGATTCCACGATGTCCTTGACCGCGGACAAAATTTTTTCCTTCGGCAAGGAAGGCTCGTTCGGTCCGGCACAAAACCGCGCAACGAATATTTTCGCGTTAACGTTCGAGAGGCTGGTAAAAAGGCACCTCGTGCCCGTACCCATTCTTTATATTTATATGCATATTCATGAACTCATTTACGTCGGTTATGCATTAAAATTCTCTCTACTCGGAAAAACCCCGTCTATGGATAATGGCCAATCAGCGGCTGGTAAAGAGGCTACTCGGATAATGGGATCGAACGACACTGAAACACCATGTTTACCAGCTATAATATTGATCATATTTAATTTTTATAGATTTTGCGCCGGTAATATTCTATATCGAAATGAAATTAGATTCAATTTAATTTTTATAAAGTCCCCGCGATATCCAAATTTATATCTCAGGAGGATATCTCCAAGGATATACTTTTAGATATAAATAAATATCTCCGGAAGAAATTTTTTTTTCACTTTATCGAATTACCGTTCCATCAGTTTTATTATTCAAATTGATATTACAATACAAGATTCTTTCAGATTTGATGCTTCAAGGTTTATACGATACCGTTCTCTTGAAAAAATGCCATATACCTTTTTCCGGCAAGTGAATGACTCTGAAGGAGCCACGAAAGGATGGTTCCTCCGAGAATCCGCCGGAAAAAGAGATCGGATCTGACAAAAGGATTTCTAATGGACATTGGGCATTCCGTGGAACACCTTATAAGGCAAACCTCGAGAGTCGGTCTCTGCCTTTCGGCTCAGGCGGACACCACGAGAGAATTCGAGGTGGCCGTGCAGCGGCGCCTCGCCGCTGCCGGATTTAGACTGGAAAAAAGAAACAATGGGATACTTTCGAAAAGAACGAAAAGAAACGAGAGGAAACGTGAGACCGTCGCGGAGTGGATCGAGGGTGTCGATATCGGAAAGATCAGTGCAGCCATCCCCACACGTTCGAGCTTAAGATAATAGAATTTTTATAAGATCGTAAATGATCGATCGAAAACGAGCTAGCTACGCTTTTTTATACCATGACGAGACAGGCATTAACCTTTATCGTGTCGATCGCGATGTCGTTACGAGCGTAACCGTCGAGAAAAGGGTATCGCGGTATCGCTAATTAATCGACCAAGGGTGCTCTCCGTCGGCGCACGACGTCGGACGTTAAAGTCGTACGGCGTCGTAAATTATACGGACAAACGCATGCATACGAAAACGGCGCGGCGCCGTAGCCGGCATACATATGCAAACTGCATGACGCATTCCGTATTCATGTATGTAGATGCATGAGACCGTCCGAATCCTTTGAGGATCAATCGACTGACCGGCCAATACGACGAGCGATGCTCTTAACCTGGACGCAAATAACAAGCCGAGCAAGTTCTGTGTTTGCGTTACCGTTATCGATTTTTCGTAAAGAGCGTTATCCGGCCGTATGCGGCAAGATTACGGAATGCATCGAAACCGCAGCCACAAAATAAACATCAAAAGGAATAAACTATTGCAGAACTTTTCACAGTATTTTTTTTTTTTTTTTATATACGTAACGTGTATCGAACTTGGCGAGAGAAAAATCCAATTAAACTAAGCTACACGCGTTGCCTTGCCTCTCCATGAATAATTTAATCTAATTTTCCAACGTAATGTTTTCTTTTTTCTCGAGCCTGCGAGATAAGTCAGCGAACTCGAACACGATCGGAATTCCGTCTGCATCGAAAAATCATCTTATTCTTATGATAGATTCCGCGATGCCGTCAGTACATAATTTACATACAACAGGTAATCTCGATGTTCCCATCGGCATTTTATTTACTCGCATCCTTACCATATGCAGCAGGTCCTTGATCAGTAAGGGCCGAGCGGTCCTCGTAGACTTTGTTCTCCGCACGGACATCAAGCTGGCGTCCCTCGACACTATCCTCGGCATGGTGTTCGATCTAACCAACCGATACTCGTCCCCCGGATACCTACTCCTCTTCTTAAACGTGCCGCACAACATGGTTCGCGATGTCGTCCCAATTAAGCTTCCGAAACCTTGTTAGACTCCCGCCGATGTCATTCAAGCGGGACCAAATGTGTCAACGGTCACACGAGATCTCTCGATCGGGAAAGTTATAAGACACTAATACTTTTTAAATATAATCTATCATTCGCATTACGATTATATAATTAAGTCATAAATATCCTTTGCAAGATTTAACCGAGCGCCATGCAGTTTAAAAGAAAGTCTTTTAGCATCGAATCTCTAAGGAGGACGAACCAATTTTTAATTAATCTTGCTGTGAAATTCGTAAAATGAAACTTTACTTTCCAGTACTCACTAATATCCGCCTCAATAATTCTCTACGATTCTTATCGACGACAATTAACTGTACTTTTAGCTAAATGAACGTTTTCCCGCCACAATTTTCTCGTAAAAAAAATGGTCCTTTACCGACAATTAAAATCACGTCGAAATTCACGAGCACAATCAGTTCGATCAGGAAACGTCCTTCGGGCACGTTTACGCGAGTTTCTTCGAGCGCAGGTATTCGATGTTCTTTCTCGATGGAGTACAACGGCGCCGTCTGCAGATTCCTGCATCTATTTAACCCTTTCGGCCCCGGCCGCACTCTCCGCGAACCTGGTTTTAATCGGCTGGTTCCCTTTGCTTCGGTCTGTTTCTTTTGCCTCTGTCCACTCGGCTTTCGGCGTCTTCCCCCGAATCTTTTTCTCTTTTCCGAGAAACCACCCACGTTATTAATTAACTGTACAGCACGCGGTGGATCCTAAAGTCGTTAAGGTGATCGCCCGGCTGAGGTAGGAATCAGACTATCGGTCAGCTACGATCAATTGGAGATTGTCGACTCGCGCTTAATCCCGATCACACTGCTCCGAGGACTCTTACGGCAGGATACTTCCTTCCCCACTACTCTGCTTCGATTCCCTTCACTTCCTCTCGAATAAACCTCCTCTATGTGGCTTTATCTTCGGCGAGATCCGATCGAATCCCACGCAGGTTACTTCCCTGAACGTGTGACGTAATCGAGAAATAACAAGGAGATCTGCTCTTCCTCCTTTTCTTCTTTCTCCGTTGCGCTGCTTATTATTATTATTATTACTGTTTCTCCTCGTCGATGCGACGGATGGCCCCGCACCTGAAGCGTCCAGGCACGTTTTCGGGCTGCTCGATACTCAATTAACGGAATCTCAGCCAGCTCGAGTCGCAGTGAGAGCCGAGAGTCGACTGAAGGCATAAGGCTCCGATCGTAGGCTCGTCGAAGGAACCCCACCACGTTGATTTCAACAACACCCGGCACCCGGCCCGACCGGACGACCCGGTCGCGTGGCGCTCGGCACAGATACGCAGTGTCTCTCAAAATCGTCTCAGAATTTTCGAATCTGCACGGTGCTTTATATTCGCTCTTGGCGGTCGACTTAATGTCTTATCAAGAATCGTTCTCCAGTTTTTTTTTCTTATATTTATAGGACATTAATTCGACATAATATCAATTTTATTCATCATTTTTTAAGATAATTAGACGATGAGTGTTTTATACTTTCCTTTAAAATCGTAAAAAGGCGAATTTGATTTGCTTGCGTTTCGCAAGTAAGATTACACAAGAATTACGCAAGAATTATTCTGAAGATTTTGAAAAAAAATGTAAGGGGTCGATAATAAAAAATATCTGTTATTTAAAAAAATAAACCTTTGAATAAAAACCTTATTTAGATGTTATTTCCTGTTTGTTCGCGTTTGTGAAATAAGATCACCGTAATCTCATTGAGCACGAAGGTTAATAGTATTCTATTTCTCACGAGAGATTCTTCGTTGCATAATGTTCTTAAGAGTCTCGCTTGCAAATAAGTAAACCTCGAAGGTCTCGTTACGCGAGAATGATAGTTTGAACTATCGGAGCGACCTACTTCCGCGCTTATCAAATTTCCAAATCGGAAGTTCCGCTCGGAACATTTAAGGACCTTGACATTTAGTAGAGAACGAGATCAGACTAGTTGGTGGAACTCGACACCCAACAACGGCATCTGCCTTCTCTAATAACGAATACAAGTTTCGAGAACGAAATAATAATAATATCGCATCTCCGATTCTCCGGGAATAAAATGTAATACTAGGACATAATAGCAAAAAAACTGATGCTAAATATAATATTATCAAACGCAGAACAATGTAAAAATAATATGAGTGCAAATTGCAAAAACACGTTTCAAATATCAAAACTGATTACGATATTGTCCGTTTCGTAACAAAAACCGCGTCGCAAAAACGAGAAAATCTGTCGGTTGATTAAATTGCCGAGTGTAACCGCGGATTCAAAGGGAAGCAAAAATGCACCTGTCTACTTATATAAGTCCGCAGAACTTCGCATGTAATCCTACGTTTGAAGAAGGTCCTTTTCGTAAAGCATAAATGTATTGCGGTTTGCTCGGCCTAACTCGTTTCTCCTTCGCGGCAGACATGTTATTTTCTTGGTTTCTGCGTTTGATCAGCGAGTTCCGAACGTTTCCTGTGTGGAAGTCGCGTGATAATCGACGTCTCATCTGGTCCGACAGACGCATTAATAAACTAATGGCATTGACACGCATACATGCGTTTAACCGCAAGAATTTACATATATATATCTCTCTAAATGGAAACATAAACGTTGTTAAACGTAACAAAGTTCGACTTTTTAAATCATTTAAATTTACTTGCCAAATATAATGAAAAATGTATTATGTGTCATCATTAAATCATTAAAATACATAAAAAAATTTCCAATATTCTGTTCTCATTTTGTTTATATATTTTTACGGAAAAATGTAAAAAATGTTTAAATATTAAGATGGACGGGTTCTGATTAATCAAGCACTGCCAATCGTTATTACAGCCAGTTTAGCAAAAAAGGGGGATGGATTATAATATAAATGAAAATAACATTTCTTCATCAGCCATATTCTTTTTTAATAAAATTTTAATTTGATTGCTGACAAGAAGAAAATGGAAGAATAAATTTCATTTGATAATACAATTGGCTAGTTGAGTACCGTGTTTATGACTAACAGAAAACTCAGGTGAGCGGCGCGTTTACATTAGAATCGATATAGGACTCGTACGATTATACGTACAGCATGGCCGATGTGCATAATGAAGGGTGTTTCGCGGCACCCTTCGTCTGCGAAAATGGACGTGCAATTTTGGCGTGAGTCATGCGAGACCGTCAAGATGGCTAAATAAATGACGCGGCATAAGTTAGCCCGAACTTTCTCAACCGGTACTTGTCGAACAAACTTTTCAACATACATGTCTCGCAGATGTTGAAGAACTTCAGGAAGAAATGTCCTGAAGTACAAAGTGGTAAATTACGTATGTAAATTATAAGGTTTGCATAAATGAGAGAACATTTAATTTTAACGAAAATTTAATTTTAGCGCGTATTTCTAATGGGATGCTTTTAACTTTATTTTAAGATTCGTAAAAGATTTTAAGAGTCGTAAAAGAGACACGAATTAGTGTAAGTTGTATGAAAATTAAATTATTGTAATTTATACAATTATAAGAAGAAATATGTTTCGGCATTTTTCAGTTTTAATCGTTTTAAAAGATCTTTCAAACGTTATAATGTATCTTTTATATATACTACATTTTAATGCTCTTCTCTTTCTCTCTACTTCCTTATAATGAAACTAGACATAAATACTGACAGAAATTGGTATTTCAAGAGATTCCTATTTATTCACCTAATTCGACGAATGTGAATTAACGGAACACATCGTTCTTCACGGCATTGTTCTACGAAGACAAACTTCGACCATTTCCGTTACGCTAGTCGAAAATCAAAGCGCCGCATTTCGTCGACGTCATCCGGCCCTAAATCTCACGCGTGTCGTTTCTAAAGTTAACGTCGCTGGATATAGGCGAAGGGAATTCTAATAAAAACACCATGGCGAATCGAGCGACGAGAATAGGCAGCCTAATTTCCCGTGCCCGAAATGCTACGCGCATCGCCCATTTTACATGCGGTTTCATTTTTCTGATTTTTAATTCGACCCCCTAGTATCTTAACAAACATATAAAACCGTACGTTTATGTAATTATAATATAAATTATATACAGTTACATCTAAAATTACAGTAAATTTTATTTCGTTTAAATTTCTCCTTTTCTCTGTGATTGTATTTTATATTTAATTTTTGTATGATCCAATATTTGCAAATTTAATTTCCGAAAATTTGAGAATCCCTGAACCCCTTCAGGTTTTTACCTGAAGGATACGCATGCGCTGCGACCGACAGATGTTTCCTCCTCGCCAACTGTTGCGCTTCGCGATCGGGAGAAGCGAGAGGCGAGGCCGCATCTGATTTACCAAAAGAAAAAAAAAAAGAAAAGGAAAGAAACGAAAGAAAAAGGAGAAAAGCGGGAAACTCCATTGCCCGCCTATCCTGCGTCAAATCATGCAAGTCTCTTTTTTTGGTTGAAGTATCTTTGAAGTGATGTCCAGTCAGGTGGGGGCGATCCACTCTTATCCAAACCACATAAGTGCAGCCCTTATATCGTTAGGGTTGATCGAGTCTCCGATAAAGCATCCTCGACACGCTCGCGATGAAATTAAAACTTATCGCATCCTCGCAATAATTATCTCCAAAAGTGTTCTCGACTTAACAAGGTTCGAAGTGACCAGACAACAGTCTACAAAGAAATGAATAAAAACATATAACCGCTTCTTCAAGTTTGTGATAAAATCAGAAAACGCATAAAACGATACGACGTATCGTAATCTACCAGTTGTCGCTTCGTCCGAATTATTAAAAAATCGACTCAACACGCGAAACTTCTTACATCACAAATTTAATTTTTTCCTCAAGACACTATTTTTTTCTTTTCTTTTTTTTTTAAGAAATGTATAATTTTTAAATCAGAAATATATAATTTTTATTCTCTAAATTAATATTTCTATTATCGCTCTATTCTATTAACTTTGTTTTCACTGATATATTAAAAACCACTCAAGCTCAAGAAAATATTGCTTTAAGGACGCTCGTATCTTTCTAGTCTCTGTCGAGGTGCTAAACGCGAAACCCGTCCGTATGTCCGACGTGACCTCCGTTTCCCCCCCCCCCCGCAGGAAGCCATAAGTTCGGAGGAATCGGCGGCCACCACCTGCCTGATTACGTCGCGAACCCCGATGATCGCGCAATTCGCATGTACGTCGCGCGTTGTACGTCGCTACGAGATTTATCGTGCTTGCGGTTAGGGCCGACGGACGGGTCCTTCTTGCAGCGGCTTATTAAGCGGCGGTAAACCGCGCGGCGGAGATCCACGCCGATCTCGGAACCGGTCACGACGCGCGCGTATATCAGCAGCGCACCTCTCGGCATCACCTGCCGGTCGGTTTCGCCCCCCCCCCCTTTCCCCCTCGCTCGCTTCATCTGATCCTCCTGCAACGAGTACCCACATACGAACGGACACCTTCTCCTTACCTCTTTCGTGGCCCGGATCGCGCTATCCTCGTGCTCTTTTCCGCGCTATGCTCCTTTTTTTTCACGATTGGCCGCTTGACGACGTGAATTCGTTCGTTTTCAAGCGACGAATATCAATTTTCAGGAAAGTCTAATAAGACTTGTTGGAGCGTCAACGTCAAATCACTTGGCGTAAATCAAAATTATCAAGAATAAAAAACTGATTCGTTACACCCTCCCCCCCCACGATCTCGCCGTAATTTCCTTCAGGAGTAACGATTTCGCAGAGATGCTCGCGAACACTTTTTTCCAAATTGATTTCGATGGCGTAGCCTTTAGAGGCATATTTCCGTTTTTTTTGGCTGTTCCACGAATGACATGCAGCTGAGGCTTCTCGAGTTTTTTGGAAATTAAGTAGCGTGATCGTCTATTTTTTTCGCTAATATATAAGTAATGTGCACAGCCACTGATTATTATGCACATTTCGCAAAAAATCGCAATAATCTGTTTTTCCTTTCCCGGCGATATTCTCCTCATTCCCTCGCAAAAATATCACGAGCCAGCTTACAGTCACGAGCCTCGTGCCTGCCGGGCCTGTCCTTCTTTCTCGCTTCTTTTTCTTCTTAATCCTCGTCGTCCTCTCCATTCGCTCGCCGATAGGCTTACACGCCGTTCAAATCTCAGTCCTCGTCGAGGGGGAGGCGATTGCTTAACGACGCCAACCACCTGCCCCGAGAAGAGGAACACGTGCTGCTACTACGAGGCAGCTGCAACCCAGAGGACGACGGATATATCGTCAGTACGAAGCTTAAGCTGTTCGAGGTGTTGAGAGCACAAAGCTAAAGGACAAATCAGACGGATGTACTTTGCTTATCATCTTGGCCATATAATTTTTAATCTTATATATTCTATGATTTTGAAAAAATATTCAGGAAGATCATAAATAAAATCTATCTTTTCTGCTCTATAATATCTAATACATGTCTGATTTTGTCTGAATTATATTTGCGGGCGATCCGATTGTAGAACGCTAAACAGGATTTCTCTAGTAATATTAATAATATGTTTTTATATGCAACACTGAAATAAAAAAAATTTATAATTAAGTACCATTTTTTTTTTTGTTTTTTTTTTTACGAACAATTTAATGATTACCGTAAAAAAAATCTTTGTTTCTAAAAGTTTGATAAAGAAATATATTATTCATAAGAACTGCCCGGGGGATACGGAAATTAAATTTATTCGTCCACGCGGAAAATGCTGCGTCAAAGATAATATCTCACGTCCCATGAGATTTATCTGGCAAGATTAGAGACTAACGCAGCAGATGGCAAGCTGAACGCGTGGCTGAATCCACCATAGGATTTTTATCTCCATTGGAGATGTAAAGGAAAATTATAGAAAATTAATTTCGGTGTGCTATTCCAATAATCTGTTCATTATTATTTATCTTCTTTATCACTTAATAAAGTATGATACATTTAAATTATGAATCAAAAGCAAATAATGATTATTAATCTTTTTTGTTCTTACAGTTTTATCAACAGTTATTTATGTTTTGTAATTGTATACTTTTTGTACACTGAGAAAAAATGCTGTTGAATCGAAAAATGCTGTTGAAACAGCATTAGTCTAATTGGAAATAATTTTGTTAATCAATAACATTATTAATGAAACGAAGATCTTGATCATTAAAACAAGAGCATAATATACTGTTTCATAATGTCATTGAATTAACAAAATTATTTCCAATTAAACTATGCTCTTATTAAACTATGCTGATTCAACAGCATTTTTTTTCTCAGTGTATCGATTAACATTTCAATTTTGTTTATGTATATCAATTCGTTATTAATTAATTACACTGGAAATAATTAAGAGCGTTCTTCATATATTTCAGAAAATATTATTCTAAATATTATAAAAAAAAAATCTCTCTTTAAAATAGATTATTATGAAAAAAAAAATTGCTTTCAGCAAAATTTTCAAATGTCATCGTACATGAAGATTCATGTGACACGTGACTACACTAATGATTTTTTTCCCGCTCTTTTTTTCAGTGCCCGAGTTTCTCCTTATTTCGCTAGCGTTGATAACGGTATTGTATCTGACCCCGAGAGAGAAATCAACGAAAACAGAAGCCCTGAAGAGGAGACGCGGAAATGAGGATCGCTTTACGAGCACACGGTGCTCGAGAATGGACGAGTAGGAAGAAGGTCGACCAAACTGCACAGCTGCCCTTAGGCACGTGCAGCGCGCCGCTA